GTCATTCCTTGGAGCGCTTGAAATGACAGACTTGTAAGAAATAGAAAGAGAAGGAGAAATGTTGTGTTTTGCAAAGTTTAAGGAATCCTCCCTTGTTTAAGAGTCAACCCAGTGTCATTGTGTCAGACACTTGTTGGTTATCTGCACTGGAGATAAGGTCTTCAAAAAAAAGAAAAATAAATGCTAGAAATTCATATGACGCTAATTTTCTTTTATTATGCACTTTGTTGTCCACAACTACAGCATCCAGAAAATGCACTTGCAAAATGGTCAGAAGTACAAACTTCTGGCATCCTGTTGACTGATGCACATAATTGTACCCATAGTATTACAGTAGTTAATTTTGGTGAGGATAGATAATCTCCCTGTGATGAATATCACTTACTAACAACATATTAACATTTCCATATTGAATTGATATAATACCATACTGATGCATTAAACATCCACCATGCAAGAAATAATGGCAATTGACTGATTTTTTTCCCATCCCCCTCCCTGTTCCGCCACAACAGCACTTGAACACCTGATGGGAGAAGCAGTCGAGTTCTTGTTTTCTCCTCCTTTAGCCGAAGGAAGGATTGTGAAGTAAGTTGGATGTGGATTGATATTTACTTTGGTTTTTCTTTCTTTCTTCTCTTTGGTTCTTATTCTTAATCATCATCATCTCTTTGTTGGGTTTTATTTTCTTTATTTTGGAATTAATGGTGATCATAAGTTCTTTGTTTCATCAGTGATAAAATCTATCTTACTTCTGAAGATAGTTTCCTGTTCATGTCCTGATGCCCCTGTCTTGTATTTCTTTCTTTCTTTCCCTTCCTGCTTTGCTCTTCTTTCTTTTATTAATTTTGTTGTTAATATATCTCTGTCTATGTGTCACCAGAACCCATGCCAAGATCGAGGAAGCCAGAAGCAGTTCGAGTGAGTCTGAGACAGAAGCAGCTGCTCCAGAGAAGTCGTTCAACCAATTATAGTGAACGAGTGCGGAGACTAGTGGATAGATTATCATGATTAACAGTGTTATATCTCCCCTGGGGAAAAGTGAATGATCTTTTGTGGTATATGTTGATCTTTAAGAAATGATCAAAACTCACTAACCTCAAAGCTTTAATGGCTCTTGGGAACTGTGAACATGATTAAAGAGAAAAGAGAAATTGTACACATATATTAAAGGGAACAATCAGGGTGGTACTGTTTTTACTCTTGATGTGAAGTTGAGCTGTTCTCCTAAACTATGGTAAATGTGTACGTTTATGCATGGGATGTGTATCTGTGAAGTGTGGTGATAATAATGATGACTCCTTTTTTTCTTTTTTTTACTTAAAATGCTAAGATACTTTCTGTGATTGACACTGAAAAACATGTGAATTTCTTTGTTTCTCTTTATATATTTTTCGTAGCCTTTTTTTTTTTTATCACATTTTCATTGTTTTCCTGTATATGAATTGTTTTCGCTTTTAGTTATTCTGGATCATGTTATTTTTTACTCGGGTTTAGTGTAATTCATATAAGAAAATTAAGTCCTTGCCTTCGTTGTTATATGTTCAATGGATTTAAGTAAGCAACTCTCCTCCAATTTAGCGACATCTTCCTGTAATTTTAACCCATTTCGAGATTAATGTTGAACCAGGCTGTGATACAAGTTGTTAGGATATAATGTATAACACTTTCTGCATAGAGCGATAAGAGTTAACAAGATGGAAAACAAAAAAAAAAGGAAGCCCCAAGTTGCACAAACATTCAGCAGACGTTTAACGATTTGATCAGGTAAGGTTGGCGCTATGAAACAGGCCTAGTCTTAACTATAGCACGTGTAACAGGCAGCCATGCTTGGCAACCACAAATACTACAATGTCCTCAGTAGTTTGTAAGGTTCGGATGTATCTTGATTTAGTTGACATGATTTTTTTCCCCCTGTTCCTTTGGTCTTTTTTCCTCCTCTTTTTTTTTTTTTTTTTTTTTTTTTTTTGAAAGAGTTGCGTCGTAAGTGAATGTATGTTGCTGTATTTTTTCTTTTCTTTTCTTTTTTTTCTTTATATTTGTGTGTGTATGTCAGTGTTATATATAAAACCTTTATAGCGCAATGCCAGTCTTACAGTGTTGCGAAGACTATATATTCATGAAATAATATTCACTGCTGCAGCTCACATGTATTTGTTCTGTTGATCAAATTGCTCAAGATTTGGCATGTTAGCATTTTAGTTTGTGATTTTCTTTTTTTCTTCTTCTTCTTTTTTTATGAATGATAACTATAGAATCTATTTTAATGATAATAGACCTTACCAAATCAAGTCATCTGCCAGAATGTATTAAGAAAAATAGCATACAGAAATGGAGACGATTCTAGGCTTTTTATCTTCCTACTTTCGCAAGATATTTTGGTGCCATTTTTTATATTTTTTGAAGCTTACTTTTTGTTCTTTGGATCAGTTTAATCTGAGTGGAGAAAGGGATTTTTTAATTTAAATGGCTTTTTATAAATAAAATACTGTAAAGAAAA